ACACACACACACACACACACACATATATATATACACACACACACGTATGTGTGTATGTATGTATGTGTGTATGTATGTAACTTTATTCCAATCAAAAGTTCTAAGCTAGGGGAATTTGATTTTTTTTTTAAATTTTTATTTTGGTCATAAGGAATTTGCGAACTGTATCTTTTTGGTATATCTTTATTAAATCTGCACTGTATATCTTAGTTGTGGTAAACCAGTAGTTTTGTATTTGAATAATTTGATAAGTCTTTAATGTTGTGGTATTGAAAAGCATTGTCGTTCTATACTAATGACGTGCCAATAAACTTTTGTATTTATGAATGACAGTGGAACTGCATCTCTTACTGGAATGCCAAATCTCAAATACTGTCCTCCTGAAGATCCAATTTTGAGAGAAATTGATAAAATTATCTCTATAATTGGTTAAACCTGTATATGTGGATGTATTGACTTACAAGAATCTTATGCATGCTTTCTCAGTTGTGAATTCCATTGAATTCAATGCAATTCAATCCAATATCAGTGTTTAGGACTAAAACTGCTACCCTGCGGCATTATTTTGTTACAGTACTTTAAGATACTGTAGCAAGAGTAATGATGGTTTATCAATGCATGGACTTCAGTTGTATATACAATTAGTCTGGATTTTGACTTTTCTGAAATGTTTTCTTCAGATTTCTGAGACATAAAAAGCTACAGTTTAAGTATACAAAATAGTTTTTATTGAACTCAGTACACTTCATTTAAATCATTTAGGTCCAAATAATAAAAAATGCACAATTGAAATGTATTTCTTCTACCACAATGTGCCTATACAAGTGTCATTCTTCATACAGATACTTTAAGGCTTTTTACCATGATAATTAGATGAAGTTTGCCATTTTTGTACCACTGTAAACTTGTATTATAAGTGATAACAATGAAAACAGACTTAAGGACAATACATTTAAACTTGATAAACATTTAGGTGATTTTTCCCTGTATTTAAAATGTGTTGTTTGCTTTCAATTCTTGAATAAAAGTATAAGAAAACAGATCTATATACATGTTTATATCCTACTGGCACTGTTTCTTCTAATTCATTCCATGGAGGAATTTATATATTTTTGATGCTAGCAGGCCTTCAGATGATGACTAAATATCCATATCTATAAGACTTTAAAAGACCTTGGCTAAAACCCGTAGTAACAAGGAAAGCCCATTAGAGGTCACTGGTTCACTTTCTATAAAATATTTTGCTATTGCACAATATTTCTTAACTGATACTTTGAACTGCACTTTTTTTTCTTTACTACCGGTTTAATACAAAAACAGAATTGTTGCCCCCCAAAAAAATGCAAAAAGCAAGCTTGCGCCTCCAAACAAGGGCATTAGGGAAAACATAATCAAAGAAATTCCATTAATGTGAGCTATGATGATCCAAGCTAAGGCTTAGAGTCTAAGGCCCTTTTTAACAATAGTTCTGGAAAATTAGAAAACCTATTATTGATTAGGATGTAAATAAGAAATAATCACAGAATTCAAAAACAATTAAAGTTGCAGTTGCTGACCCTTGTTTAAAAGATTCCCAGTGATGGGAACAGCCACTTCTCTATACAACAAGTCTACTGCCCAATTACTCTTAATGATTTTTTTTATCCTAACATTGTCAGAATCCACATTCTTGTAATTTAAGACCATGATTCCATATTTGTATTCTGTTAACAATGGAAAATGCAATAAGTCGTGGTGTTCTATGTGGCATCTTTTTAGAAGAATGCTATCCCAGTTTGGTAACACTTCTCAATCAAACATACATATTATGTTTTCCTCCAAAGGACTTTGTGGTGTTCTGATTTTCTTCATTGCCCTTCTTTAGAACTAGGCTGTCTCACTATGCTATTCACCTCAGTAACTTTGAGAATTTCATGTATTTTAGTTTCACTAGAGGTGGTATTTGCTATAAGATGGCAGGAAAGTTATTCCTGGGAAAAATTCCTGGATAACACATAAGATCTCTGAAAGGGAACAGAATGCTGCTTTGGCCCAGAATTATATAGGTGCCAATGACAATGACAATATTTCACTAGATTGCTTTACTCCCACCACCACCATTTAATCTCTTTATTCGTAGAGATTTTAAGGTCATGTCAAGTTACTTGCTCCTGGTGTGTCTGCTCGACTGCTTTCTTAAATCAGGAAGTTGTGAGTTTTAGTCCTGCCTTAGGCAGGAAAAGCTAGCTGTGTGACTGGGCCAATCACTCAGTCCAACTCACAAGATTGCAATTGTGGGGAAAATAGAAATAAGATGTTTTGTCATCTTGAATTATTTATAAAAACAACAAAGGCGGGATTTAAAAAGTCATTTAAAAAGAGAACTCTACTTTTTTCTAAAACTTAGTGTAGAATTTAACAATTGGCATCAAGATACAGAAAACCAGCTATGTTATAGGGTAAGACACTGAGGAGACATTCTGATGTTCTGCAGTCTCTTTATTAGTCATGCTAGTTGGGTCTGACAAAATTGACCAACTTTGAGAGTTGCCTCCTTTGCTCTAGCAGGGGTGTCAAACTGGCTGCCCACGGTCCAGATGTGTCACACAAGGCCATGGCCACCCCAGCTCTGTGAAGGAGAAAATGTCATGAAATTTGAGATGGCAAAGTGATGCTGTGAGTTTGATATCTGTGGTCTAAAGTTAAGCTTTTTGATAATTTAAAGCAGTCACACACACAATGCATTTGGTTCGGTAACTAAAATATAAATCACATATGTTTAAGATAGCAACCAGATCTTTAAGGTACCTCAAATCTCAGAAATATATAGATCAGTTGACTTAAATGGATCCTCCAAGTCTGTTTAAATGCATTTTTGTGTCACAGCTGTGTAATGTTTCTAAACACATTTCAGGTGAATAATACATTTCATAGAAATAAACCAATGGCATTAGTGTTTGTAATGGATTTCTATCTACCCATTTAAAGGGGGGGGGCACCTAGAAACAATTTTGAAATATGTTCATGTCCAGTCTTTGCTTAAATTGAAGAAATTGGACAAATTATTGATAACCTTTGGTTGGTACAATACACTCATAAAAATTTAGAGAAAGCTGGATTCTTGAAACTCTTGGATACAGCTAGGATTGTGGCAGTAGGTACAGCTTGCACTAATAAAGAAGTGTCATTTGAAAAGAAAGTAGGACGGGATAGCATGATCTATTTGATACATGCATAAGTTTGGAACAAGCAAAACGAAAAAAATAAAAACAATTTCCAAGAGGAATCCTGAAATAGGACAATGGAAGGCACTTTAGCAATTACAATCAATAGCTCTGCCAGAGACTTGTTTTCAAAAAATGAACCATATCATTTAAGCCAGTCTGATATATTTCGGCATGGTCAGCCATCTCTGAAATGGGCTTCTATTTTTAGAAGATAAAATAGATAACATTTGTAGAATATTTGATGAAGAAAAACTTTTAAAAGCAGTATGTCCTTCAGTTTTCTTGCTGTCAAAATGTATTAACGCCACAGTTTTATCTGTACTTAGAGTTGAGCAGGATGTAACAAATTCTTCATTACATTAAAGACTTTGGTGCAATAAAACAGAACATGTGCTGTTCAGTTTTTTTTATCTCTATATACTATAAAATCATCAATATTATGCTCTATATGGGATACTGGGTTGGTGTAGCTGAAAATTCTGAAAAATTGGTTGTCAAATTTATGTTTGTACAAGTTTAACATGCTAATGAGCAGGAAAATACATAACAAGAGCAGTAAAGCAATGATTTTGCATTTCCATGGTATGCTTTTAGATCCTTGAAAGGTGAAGACTTCCCTGTGATAAGACTAGCCAACATATGTGAGATTTATACAAAACCGAGTTGGTCCAAATAGCCTTGACTGTTCAATGACCTACTCATGCAACCAGCATTTATTATTTCTTGGACACATGTGGACTGACCTTGTTTTTGAAAATCCACAAAAGAATTGCCCTATTTTAACCCCAAAGGATATCTTGGCCTTGGAAAATTTTAAGTGTGGAGGCTATAGTTGCCCTCCTTTAGATATAGAACAATTCAGAATAGTGTTTACCGTATGGTGGGCAGTTGTTTACAGAGTAGTTAAATGTGTTTTCTATAAAAGGGGCTTAGGAAAGGTGATACCTAGGTATTTAAAACAGAGGTATTGCTCAATTTGTTGGGCATTAGTTTAGTTTACTTTTTGTCATTGCAACTCA